CCCCAAAACCCCAAAACCCCAAAACCCCAAAACCCCAAAACCCCGCATTAGGCTAGTAAGGTAGCATCTTCGTAAAATCCCGTTTCGAAAATTAAACTGTATTGCAGTACTGGATTTTTGGAATTTAGGAGAATTTTTTCCTTTAAAAATTTTGAATTTAGGGAAGAATTCTTGCCTGGGATAGGGGAATAGAGAAGATTTGGAGAAGGTGATGGTAGATATAAGCTTTGATAGACATTTTTGGATGATTTAGGATAGTCTTTGGCAAGATGGGATGGAAATTTTGGAAATTTTTATCAATGATTAGTTCCAGAGGAAAATTCTTGGTGTCTTTATGGAAGGAATGAGGACTCAGTTAGTTTGCAGAGTAAATATGGGATGTAGAGATCTTTGAATTAAAATAAAGAACTCTGGATTAGAGCTTTTTGTGTTAAAATCCAAATATTCAACATGGAGCTCTAATACAATGACCCATCTTACTTTTGCATTTGTTTGCTTTAAATCTCCAAAAAGCACCTCAATTTCCATTCAAAAGTCCATAGAATTCTTTGAATCAATGTGAAATCTAATCAATGCCGAGGTACTTCTTGACAATAGAGTTTTTGCGTTTCTTGATAAGCGCCATGAGCTGTATCTTACTGAGCCTCTTTTTCGATTCTATAAATCGTCACCTACAAATTACCGATTTCTTCCTTGTGCTCATTCTCAAGGACCATTGTTCGAAGAAGTTGGTCTACCTTAGTGTCTCCCTCTGGATGCTTGATCTTCTTCCTCATGTTGAGTTGGCGGATCTACATCATAAGGAAAGCCACAAACCTTATGAGTAATGGTCATCTGATCTGAAATATTCAGAGGGATTATGTTCCTTGATGGTGAAAAATGCTCTTCCTTCTGCGCGATTGGTGATAGCATTCTATCTGATTCAATAGGATTATACGAGCTCATGGAAGCACTATAGAGAGTTAATACTAGCTTCTTACTTCCTGTTCCTTGAGTTGTGCTGTCTCTGAACTAATTTACTAAGGAATCATAACCAGTCCTTACCTTATCCTTTGAGTATTCATCCTGGGTCAGTTGACAAACTTGCTGAATGTTGATTTCTTCTTCTCTCTTTTCCCCATAACCATGCTATCATTTGAGTCACTTAGAGATGACTTTGTCAGCACTCAAGAGGAGTCCTTCTTTCTCAATTTGAACTTCCTTCTTCCCTACATGAAAGTTTAGGGTTATTGGTGATGAGTGGCTTACCTTCTCTTGAGACTTCTTCTTGAGGTCCACAAAGAAAATACTTTGATATTTCGGCTAAAAGAAGGTTTACATGATCAAATTTTATGAAATTTCTGAGAAAATTTCCTCTCTAAATCTTGCAGAAGTTGTAGGTTAGTAGAATTTTAAGAGGTCTTTCGAAGGTTAGGCTAATCCTAATGGTATATTAGTAAACACCTCTGGAGCAAGTCTCACCTCTTTTTATTAACAAGTTTGCAATTTAAAACTCTATTTTAGTGCCTTTTACAAGTATTCTAATATTTTTAGAGAGGCTAGCCGATATTTTCACTTTTTGGAGAAAGATTAAAAATTATGAATTTACTATGGCTTTGAATATTCTCTGCTCGAGTTTGTTATCCCAACCCCTGTTTCATATGAAAGGACTATTTAAGTAGGCCATTTCTGAGAGTTGCCAGAGAAATTTTAATGCTGACCAAACCGGCAGGTTTACAACCTCTTGAAAATCTTCTTGCAAATTTTTTTAGACTAAGAGCATGATAGTAGTAAAGCTAACAAATTTTTGAAATCTTTGCTAGAACTCTGCCAGCCCCAATTTGTCCCAAATTGCTTCAATGGCTTACCTTTGGACTGAAAAATCCATTCATGAGATTCCTGTCTCTTCAGAATGAAGACCTATTTTATTGATAAAAATCGTAAAGGAATATGACAAAAATTTAAAGCAAGTTATAAAGCAAGCTGATGATGTAAAAAAAAAGTATTTAATTTAGCCCAAACACTTTGTCACTCATTTATACTCACTTCTGGTTAGATTTTTCTTCCTTAATTGATGTATTTTGAATAAATTCATTCCTAGCGGGGGCTCCAGGGCTACGGAAAATTCTTTTGTTCTATAAAAATACGAGTTAATTAAAAACAAGTGGCTTCAACTAGAAGCAATCAATGGTCCACTATATCGCTTTAACATGGCAAAAATATAAAGGAAATCTATTGTAGCAATTTTGGCTACCTCCTCCATAATCCACTATTAATAGTGGATTATTGGAAAAAATTTTAGAAAAATTCTAAAAATATCACCCATTATGAGGATTTTTACGAAATCCCTTCAAAAGAGCTCCTAAGTTCTGAACTTTTTGAAGAAATCTCAGCTAGCAGAGGCAAAGTTTAAAAATTTGTTGTGGTATTATAGTATTGTACACTTCACGGATTAGAGGATCGATCCTTAATAGTAGATGATAACTATAGCTTTACAAGTTCTTCTTGGTGGTTACTACTCATTGTGATTGATGCTAGTTGATTCAATAGAACTTATTTTAATATGTAAAAGATGGTTATCCGGGAGAAATAAATCACCCAGCTCTCAGTGGCCGAAAATAAACGGTGGATAAGGTGAATAGTATATACATGATTTGGTGAGGACAAACCATTACATTATAACCAGACCTGAGTTCAAAGCTACTAAGTTTACATTTATACTATTTATCTAATCATCCCTAATTATCTGGCTACACTATAACCGTAATGACCACCCAGGGATTGCTTTCTCTTAAGAGTCCCACAATGTTGTTTAAATCGAGGTAAAATATTCAAATGCAATCGATGCAATATTTAAAAAACCAATCATCTAAAATCTGTCAGAACTTCTAAACCATGAATTGTAAAGATGGACAAGAGTTGGTGATTCGGTTTTCGAGTAATTTACCTTACTCTGAAATCTTCTAAATTGTTTCAGAACCGAATGAAAGAATTCCCACCTTTGGAAATAAGCCCTAACACCTCAATTCATATGCAAGGATTTTAATGATTTATTAAGCTCGAGAAATATCTTAACATTTTGTTTTTAAACTAAATTGATAATGTCGTATTGACAGTCAGAAATTCAGCAAAGAAGTGGGTTTATTTGACAAAAATTTGTCATTTTGAAATGAAATAAACTGAAAAAGGCAATGCATTAGTAACCAAATTTTGACGAACCTGAGTGTACTTGGCAGACATTCGAGCGTTAAGGAACTTATCGCTCTGATTTATGCGCTCTGGCCTGGGAATCGAAGTATTCTTTACTCGTGTAAAAGTCTGATTTTGATTAACATATGTATTTCGGAACTGGTTACGGGTCCTCATATCCTAGATAATGTTTATGTATGAAGCTCAAGATTACAATTTTAAACGTGAAAATTTATTTGGAAGCAAATTTAGGGCTGAAAATATGTGGAATTGAGCCGTACGATAGAATTAAAGGTTTTCTGTTCATTTTTGGGTTTTATTTCCTTTTCCTTGATGAGTTTGAAAGCTTCTTTTGTTTGGTTTTGTGGAAGATAAGGAAACTGTTCTTTTGAGGTTGGGCTGGTGCGGTTAGGTATTTTTTGGACTGGGGTTGGCGAAATTAGGGATTTTTTGGGTTTTCTGATGAGTTTGGGGTTTAATGTGAGGTTTATCAAAGGGTAGAGGTTTGAATGCTCGCAGGTTGTTCATTTTTAGGTTAATTTATTAATTTATTAAGTCAATATGCTTCAGTCTTTTAGGGGTTTTGGGGTTTTGGGGTTTTGGGGTTTTGGGG